CAGAACTTGATTGTCGCATTTTTGTAATTCCAAATGTAAAATTAAAATAAACAACCTGTATTTTTTTCCCCTAAGAATGTCTTACTCAGAACAAGATTAAGGATACACCATTACTAAATTTAAATTCCCCTTTCTCCTATTAGGGCAGGACCAACATGTAAAAAGCAAGCTGGACATCAGGAAGTCTCCCAAAGAACACGCCATATTGAGGAAAGAACTCAGTATGTTATATAAACAGTGCACTGGAGCCAGCCTCACATGAACTGGAGTTGTCTTAGCTATTGCCCAGAAAGCATAAGCAAGAACATAAGAAAAGATTCTATTTTTTTTCCTCCATATTCAGAATAACACACTGATATCACCACCCTGGGTACAAGGGGCAAACATAAGTGACTGTTGTCTAACTTCCCAATGTTGAAAACTATTATGCTCACTTGAAAAATCTTTTTTCAGCACAAAAGTATTACTTCTCACAAATTCTTAAATGGTTCACAATTTTATGTCCAATCAAACATTACTACTACTGTGTAAGGACCACAGTAGGACCATCGGGTAGGCTTATTATTTGCGGCACAAATCCCAACCTGTGTTTCAAAAAAAAAAAAGCATTACATAAAAAGCTCAGTTAGATGTTAGCCAGGGTTCATAATGAAAACATATGCATGTGCCATTCAGAACTCACAAATAAACAAAAATGGAAAGGTCAGCAATGGTCTTTCTTCCTCACTGTTACTAAGCCTTTGAAATAAGCTCATGAAATGTATGCAGGTGGTTTTTTGATTAATTTGATAGAGGTACATCCATGGAACCAATTTACAAGTGATTTGCAGGCAGGCTGGCATTACTGAAATAAACGGTGCTATTACTATGATTTATACTACTATTCCCAACACAAATGATAAAGTGAAATTTACAGTCCTTAATTACCACCATGAAAAATTGGGAGGGAGAAAAAAGAGCAAAGATTGGCAATTTGCAAACTTGTCAGTAAGGCAAGATGCAAAAATCCATTTGCTTTACTTAAAAAAGACACTGCATAATGGGTCTTACTATATTGTTATAATCCATTTGAGAAGGTGAGGGAGTTCAAAAAACAAATGACCAGAATATAACCTTGAGATGCCAGGAAGTATGGTTTAGGAAAACAGCTGACAAAATGTCGCCTCCAGTTTTGAAAAGCAGGGAGGTCACAAAATACAACACTATATTATACATTATTCTGGGCCAATCACATGACCCAATTTACTCTTCAAATCACCTCCTTTCAAATGTTTTTCAAATGCTTCCTAGCAGGGGAAAAAGAAAATTAAAGAAATAATATCTGTAATTTTTAATTAAATGTTTTTCTCTTGTCCCACTCATATCTAAATAGTATTGGGAGTCTTTTAGGATATTCAAAGGTGTTTACAGCCACACTGCTATCCACAGAACTCAAACAAAGCTACCTGGAGGAACCTACTCTGAGAGGCAAGGCTCAAGCATTGCAGTTGTCAAGAGGTTGGAGATGATGTGAATGCCCAGTTTCCTGGGCCCTTGGCCCTTTCCTCTCTCATTTATTAACACTTCCTACTTTAAAAGTCCAGCCAGGCTTTATTTACAATACTTATTCCCTCTCATGACTGACCTCCTATCAGGGAATGCCTAGGGTTCTAATGGACCTTCTAATCACCATTTGCTAAGTTTGATTTAAAATACAGTGATTCCATGCAGTGGTCATTCATAGTACTTCACAGACTGCCTCACGGGAAAACTCCGCAAAGTTACAAGACATGGAGACTGACTGCATATAACAGGCAAGAGAAACAGAACAGAGGCAATTCTTGTCTACCTGAATTAGAAAATAATGGTGCAGTCTTAGATATTGGCACACAGCCAAAACTTGGGAATTGATATGTCAGTTTCAGTAATGTTAAGTTTGAGTTGCTGCCAGGACACCCAGACGTAGATATTCAGCAAACATTATCAGGAATGTACGACTAAAGCTCTGGAGACAACTTAGGCCCAGATATATACAGATGTTGGAGAAATATGAATAGAAATGAAGGTTGAAGACATCAGAGGGGATCAGATGGCCATAGTGGAGGATGTTAAAACCAAGAGGCCTGAAAGCAAAAACAAAGAAAAGACAAAGTTGGAAGACCCAGAATAGAGAAAATAATGAGATCAGAAAGGACTAATTGGAGAACT